GAGCCGCTGTGGAGATGTGCGGGGCGGGGAGGCGCTGGGGCCGGCGGCAGCGAGCTCTGCTCTGGGCCGTGCTGCTGGCAGCGTGGGAGGCGGCGTGGGGGCAGCTGCGCTACTCCGTGCCCGAGGAGATGCCCAAGGGCTCGTTCGTGGGCGACGTGGCCAAGGACCTGGGGCTGCCTGTACCGACGCTCCGAGATCGAGGCGTCTACATCATGGACAAAGGTAGGACGCAGTATTTCTGTGTGCACGGGAAGACAGGACATTTAGTGACGGCGGAGAGGATCGACAGGGAGCAACTGTGCGAGAATGTGCAGCAATGCGTGCTGCGCTGTGAGCTGATAGTGGAGGGACAGATGCAGGTTTACGGAATCGAAGTAGAAATCATGGACATTAACGACAACGCACCCAGCTTTCTAGAGGCAGAAACAGAGCTGAGACTGAGCGAGATGACAGCGCCGGGGTCGCAGTTTCCACTGACAGAGGCTCATGACCCAGACCTGGGCAGGAATTCCCTGCAGAGCTACGAGCTGAGCGGCGACGAGCACTTCTCGTTGGCCGTGCAGGCGGGCCCCGGCGGCGATCAGCGTCCCGAGCTGGTGCTGGCGAAGGCGCTGGACCGGGAGGAGGCGGCGTTTCACGAGCTGCTGCTGAGGGCGATGGACGGTGGCGATCCGGCACGGACGGGCACGGCTCGGATCCGCGTGACGGTGCTGGACGCAAACGACAACGCGCCCGTGTTCAGCCAGGCGGAGTACACGGTGCGTGTGCCCGAGGACGTGCCCGTGGGCTCTGTCCTCGTCACCGTAACAGCTTCTGACGCCGACGAGGGGTCGAATGGACACGTGAAATACGTGTTCAAGAAAATCACAAAGAAAGTCTTGCAGATTTTCCAGGTGGATGCGGAGTTCGGAGCAATCACTCTGTTGCGGAGCCTGGACTTCGAGGAAGGCAATTCCTATGAACTGGAGGTGCAGGCACTTGACAGTGGAGCCCTTTCCGACACTGCCAAAGTTGTAGTTACCGTGACAGATGTGAACGACAACGCCCCCGAACTCACAGTATCGTCGGCGCTGAGTGAGATCTCTGAGGATGCGCCGTCGGGGACTGTAGTCGCCCTGCTGCACGTGGAGGACCGGGACTCTGGAGCAAACGGCGAGGTGCGCTGCTCGCTCGATGGGGGCGTCCCATTCCGACTGGAGAAGTCCTATGAAGACTACTACCGTGTGGTGACAGCGAGAGAGCTGGACCGGGAGCAGGTGTCAGTGTACAACGTGACGGTGCGAGCGGCCGACGGCGGGTCGCCGGCGCTGCAGAGCAGCGCGGTGCTGGCGCTGCGGGTGCTGGACGTGAACG